TCTAAAATATTATACTTTACCCCACATACCAAAAATCCCTAAAATTACGCCACAAACCCAAAGATAGTACTAAATAATATGGTAATAATAATAAAGATAAAAAAAAGGTAGTTGTTTGAAGCTTTGCTTTGTTCACCAAATTTGGTGATGTGAATAACAAACCAAAGGAAGTTTCATCTGTCCCCTAACTTATTTGGAACTTACCCATTCAAAATTTTCAATCAATAAATTTCAAAGTGTCATTTTTCGTTTCAAATTATCTATCATGCTTTTTAAAAATAATTATCTATAATTATTTATTAATTTTAAAATTTTACGATGATAATAAAATAGACATTTTATTATAGAATTTGGGAATCTGATTTCAAATTAATTTTTGTTTTATTTATATATTTTATGAACAGTGTCTACAACATAAAATTATTGCAACATAAAGTATGTATATCGTTATACTAATAATAAAAATATAATTTATATCGTTTGCGCCCTTGAGTATTTTTAATAAGCTTTCTCCTCGAGACTCGTTTAAAAATGCTTTTGGAAACATTGATAAGGAAAATTTTAAATTTTATGTTCCAAAAATGTATGTAATATATAAAAAATGTTCTTTGCGTTTCATGATCTTCGTAATAAAATTGAAAAGCCACTAAAGATATACTTTGTGTCATTTTGTTTGTTTACTCTATCTCTCAATACTTGGTTGACGTAAAAAAATTGAATTCCCCTATGAACCAATATTCTTCAAAAATATATTTTTCTTTTGGATTAAGTTTCTTATATATTGTTTTGTTTTTAAAACATGGAGTTGGAAGAAACATTTATAGTAGGTCTACCAAAGATTTATGGTTTTCGAGCAAAACTTGGTTCACACTACCAATTATAATATTATTATGAAGGTGCAAACAACTCTAATTTCTCACTTACTAGTAAGAAATTAGAACTACTTCAATGAAAATTCCAGCTAATAGTAGGTTTGAACTCAAAATTAATTACAAAATATAAACGATTTCAATGCTAAGAATCTTAAAAATTAAATCGACAGAGCTAAAAATTTATTCTGACGACTTTAATATTGATATCAACTTTCAAACTTAACTAATTCAGATTCACATTGGAAACCAAGTACTACTTCTAAGTAAAATATCCTTTACAAAAGATAATTTTATTCGCAATACTCCAACCGAACAATATTTGGTTTAAATTATATCATCAAAAGATTATGCAATCTTGATTGTCAATAATCAATATGATACTCCCAAGGTTTTGAAAAAAGAATTAAAATGTGAGGTAAGTGTACTTCGTCTGAATAAAGAAAAGCATATTTTTTTAAAAATTAAATTAACTTTCCATCTGTACATACAATCTCCATAAAAAGGTAAACAAGGGTGGTGTAAAGTGTAATGACTAAAGAGATTCTCCAAAAGGGAATTTTTCACTTTTTTCAAGTGCCTCATGATATCATAACTATGTCATTTGTATAAGATTCTCCACTCATTTTCTTTCATTATCGTGTAAAAAACTAGTTTTTTTTTTTTAAAAAAAAATATAGCCAAACCCATATACTCTAGTTGTCAAGACGTGTCTTGGAAATTACCTTTTACCAAACAATACACTAAAATAATAATAACTAAACATTATTATTTTTACCAATATAAACATCAGAAGTTCATGTGTTTATATATGCAACAACTTCTCAATCAATATGACCAAACAAATTATATATATAGATTAATACTCACTCCATTTATAAAAGAATGACCTAGTTTGATTAGAAACGAAATTTAAAAAACGGAAAAAGATTTTTTAATCTTGTAGTTCTAAATTAATGTTATGTCAAATGTACCAAATTGTCTTTTAATCTTGTGGTTTTAAACATGTCATGTGAAAAGTTAAAGTGTTGCCAAAAAAGATAAGAGGTCATTCTTTTTAAAACAGATTAAACAAAATAAAGTAATTTTTTTAAAACGGAGTGAATAACAATTTTTTTCACTATTCATGGAAGACTTAAAATTTCATTATTAATACATTGAGATGAAAATCTGCATATACTCTACTCTCTTTAAATCCCACGAGTTTCATTGTTGTTTGTTGACAAAGAAAAAGTAATGTGAACAATGTGATTTTACTATATGTATTGGGATTGGAGAATCGTACACTGCAAAAATACAGTTATAGTGATCCCTTTTAGACTGTCCCTTGTTGACTTCTATTTCTTCTTTTTCAAATGTACAGAAGTAGGGTTACTTGTCCTAACCAACAAAGGTTATTGATTTTAGTAGATTTCAAATTTAAAAGTTAGTAAAATGATCAAATAATTATGGTTAGTAGCTAGGGACAAAAAGACCAAAATTAGATCTAGTTATGGATTCTTACTTATCCTTGTTTCTTAGGTAGGCATATCTAATTCAACTTTTTTGTATTCCTTCATGTGTGATATAAAAATTGTCAAATGGGTATTTGGTATTGCTTACCCCATTACCATAACAACATAAGATGCGTTTTCAAGTAGATATTTTTAGTATAAATATCTGTCTATGGCCATACAAAATATCTACTTCTAGGCCATAGCAGCCCAGCCAATTAAGAATCAGATCGAGTGTCGTTTTCTTTAAGAATATTGATAGCTACTCCCTCCAATTTGATCAATTCCAGTAAATGGAATGAAATACATGTATATCTATCACATCATTACCATAACAACAAATTGAGACTCTTCATATTTACAGCAATTATAAACAGATAGAAGAAGAAGAATAATGCAATATTCCACTAGGAACAAAGTAGAGTATTTGTTTTGAATACAAGCACAAAGCCACTTACCACCAAACTTTCCATAATAGCGATATAACGATGAGTATTGCTAGCAGGCTGGATTCCAAATCGGTCCACTCAGAGATTGCCACCTATTGATTACTTAGAAACATAAAAGACCAAAATTGTCAACCAAAACAGCAAGTTGATATTTCCTATTTCCAAATTATGACAGATAGAACAGCTAAATTAAGACAAGACAACAATGAAATCTCTAAAATTGTAATGATACTTTCCATGATTTTCAAAGACTAAGGGCATTAACAGAAGTGAATATCACTAGTACGTGGCGTTCTTTGTACAAAATGATTATCCAAAAGGATATCTGAAATTCTTCATGAGTCACTAAGGTCTGCATCCTCAAGGATGTTTCTGTATGTAAGATAATGTACAATTGGCAGTTAGTTTTCTGAGTCAGAGAGAAGGAAGCCTTCATGTATCAGAATCTAAATCAAAGGAAGAACTAGCACACCGTCTTCCATAACGGAGTCAAATCTCGAATCTAGTGGAGAAGCTTATGATGGACTAGTCCCACTCCCACCGTTTATCACGGCCAGTCAGCGGATATATCCTACCTTACAAAATGAAGAGGAAAAAGGCTTGACTTTCCTCTAGAAAAAAGGTTCCTTCAGTAATTTTGTACACCTGCACTATTTCCCTCAGTCTGCTGCATAGGTTGTAGCTGCTTGCCTACAAAAACATGGTATTTGTTAGACTCCGAAAACTAGAGAGGCATTAGCTTTCTCTAACCATTTTAGATAGCCGTGACAAATTGCAAGTCGTAACACATTGTTGTCAATACAAGAGAGTACAATTCCAGAGGGAATACAAAAGCAGTTTAACACAACAGAGATAAATTCTCTACAACTTTGTTATATTACCAAGCAACCTAGTTATGACGACACAAAATATTCCTTTTCAACTGTAACACCACTAAACACTATCTTATGCAATTTGAGAGGTATATTATAGATGGAATAGAATTCTATTTATCTCTCTGAGACCTAATTATTGAAAACAAACCTGGATATGAATATAGCACTCATATAAACAGACATGGACAGACAAATACCTGATTGGCCTGCAAATGAATAACAATTCGAATTATAGTTGCTTCCACTATTAACAATGGAGGTTTGTGGTAGGATATTATTCACAGGAAATTGGGATGTGATGTTCATAGGTGGTGGACATCCCCCAGATTCAACCATTTGAAGTAAACTTGGCTGTTCAACCAACGGAAAGGAATGATCACGTGCCTGTTCCACAAGCCAACATAAACATTAGCAACCAGAAAAATGACCTAGATCAATAATGCCTCAATCCCCATCTAGTTGGGGTTGGCTATATGAATACCAATACCAATAAATCAACTACACCATAATCCCAAGCACTTGGACTCAGCTATATGAATCCTCTACGAATACAGAGATCAGCAAAGTATCAAAAAAGATATCTTTCATTGTTCAAACAAGCTCCAGAAGTATAGGTTTGACGCATTTCACTCGCATATATATATACACCAAAAAGGAACACCTTACACATGAAAGTTCATAAAACCACTACAAAATACTAAAAATCAAAATAGAACCACATTTTCTAAATCATTCTTGTGATAAAACTTTCAAATTTAACCATACTGAGAAAAAAGCGAGCAGAACCCTCATTCAACTACTCAGCAAGAAACTGATGACTATGTTTCTCAAAGGGTAAGACATTATTCTCTCCAATGTGATTCAATCAGTATTTTGACTTGAGGACTAATTATCTTGGTCTGAAAAAGATATATGCAACTGCTTTTCAAATATGTCCCAGTTCAACACAACTTCTACACCAGAAAAAGAGGCATTGTTCCCATAAGATGAGCAACAATGACAACCTCAAAATCTTCCAAAGCCAAGCTACTAGGAAATTGACTTGAATTAGAGATAGAATAACGATCAAGTAAACTTGGATAAGAGGCTGTAGAAATGGCGTACATCCTGGAACCAACAAAGATAGAAACTGTTATTAGGTTGAAACAGTCATCATTGCCATTAAAAGAACCCAGAAAAGATATTAGCAGAAGACATTTTCAATCATTTTCAACTGCCTTAATGAAACGTTCCTAGCCTGATAGATGAAGAAAGAAATGAGGATGGATTTTACACTCCAGAAACCCGCAAGCAAAAGGACAAGAACACGCTGGAAAAGATAACACAACCTTATGATATAAATCCCATTTTTCCGGTAACTACATTACAGCCCTTTTAGAAATAATATTCCATGGTTTTCCCTCTTCTCTTTTGCTTTTTGGATTAAGCATTCTATAGTACTCCTTGTCACATCTTCAGTAAATATTTAGCAGAAAATCTGACATCTATAGATCAAGAGGTAGCATATTTTGCACTCATTGAAGGAGGACGTGCAATAAGTAACAATCACATGCTAATTAAGATAAATTCTTCTGCCTCTACCATCTCTAAATGGAGATCACAGAAAAGAACTAAAGAATGCTGGACAAAGCCAAGGAGATACAGTAGCTGAACGGCTTTGATGTGGGAGAAGGGCCACTGTCAACATTTCCCATTTGCTTTATGCAGATGATACCCGATTGTCTGTGAGGTAGACAGAAATCAGGTGCATTATCTGAATCCAACCCTCCTATTTATGAAGCTCTTTCATGCTGAAAAATGTTGGATAGGGTGCAGGACCAGAAGCCTTACTGTTGATGACCTGTTGTTAAATACAAACTTGTCAATGGAAAGAAATAGCAAGTCGGCAGTGAATGACACATGGGTTCATATAGTTGGCAGCAAAAGGTATTTGTCAAAGGGCTGCAGCTGGTTGTTTCTTCATGGGCACCATGATTGTGCTTGCCATTGCTGATCGTTGGCAGGAGTGTTCACACCTGGAAGACGATTGCTGGAGTTATTATTGTTATCCTGGCGAGGAATTCAGCTTGTCTGCTGTGCTACAGCAGCGGTAATAGGAGTTGATAGCGGCTTCTTGTCTTCCTCATGCTTAAGGAAAAGCTCATGGATCCAGAAGCTTTTCATAATGCACTTCATAAGAAATTGTAGAATCTCGAGCAGAAATGGCAGCAGACCAAGATCCTCAATTTCATAATGCAGAGAGTTCTCAAAATTCAGATCTAGTCACCAAGAATTTTAACAATGAGTTTCGGGTTTGTACAGGCACACCAGCAGTTGCAAGCTCATCCAAAGTGATCAAACTTGATGAAGATAATCTGTCACTGGACGAGAGCCTTTAAGGAGGCGAGATGATCAGTCGCGCAAGCTGAAGATTCTTGTTTGAGATTTCTTCACATAAGCAGTGTACAAAACATTCAGGCAGCTTTTGCAGAGACCGCCACAGCAATAATGGGGGCAAGTGTAGGATCAACAGAGGCCAGGATAGCATTTTGTATTTACTGATCTTGGCGATACCAAGGAACAAACTCAGGGTTATCAACACGTTGATTGTTTTGACAGATGGAGCCATTGAGACACCCATAGAGATCATGACCACACATAAGCATTGAAACTTGAGCTTTCCACAGGGAGAAATTGTGACTGCCTGTAAATTTTATGGGCAATTGGGTAACAGGATTGAATTGAACAATTGTAATGGCATTGTTGCCTCCATTCGCATTAGTCACAGAAACAATAGGGGCCATTTGGACGAGTAAGCAGGAAAAAAAGGAGAGGATCAACTTGTTGGAGTTTAGAAGTGCTCTGATACCACAAGGAGAGACGGGCAGAAGATAGGAAAATAATGCATTTAATATTATTTGATCATATGGCAGTACTTATACAGAATACGTACAGCGACTGTATCAACAAGTTAAAACTTGAAAAGATAATTACTATTGAAACAAAGCCTAAATAGGAGGAGCCAAGGACAGAGTTACAAAAATTTCCTAAAGACTAGGAACTACAAGATTAGAAGTCTACAGCAGTAAGGAATCTTGAGTCAGCAGGTAATCATCTGTTATTAGAAATTAGTTATTTTCACCTATAGGATGAAAATCTCTGATCTCTATACACAAATCTGGTTGTCTGAGCATTAGAAATTTAAGATTGCATAGGAGAAGTCTTCTGTGGAAGTGGTTATGGAGATACAATACTAAAGATAAAACCTTATCGAGGACGGTGATCAATCAAAGATATGGTTGACTGGGCACTGGAGTAGTAAACCAGTAAGTTCTTCTTTTGGGTTAGTATTTGGACCAATTATAAAATACTGGGCGAATTTGCTATGAACATAGGGTTCAGAATTGGCAATGGTAGGAAATCATCATTCTGGAATGATAATTGGCTAGGACAAGGTCCCCCCAAAGACTCATCCAGACTTGTTCAGTCTTCCCTCTATACCTGAAGTTACAATTGAGGATGCATGGCATCAACATGGATAGAAATTAGAATCTCTTCTAGAAGATTGCCAAATGATTGGAAATTGGGAGGCTGGTTGAGATTCGGAAGACACTACTAGAAATCTTTCATTGTGTAAGGAATGTTGAAGATTCAATGGTGTGGAATGGACAGCAACAAAAATTTACAATAAGTTATGTCTTTCATATTATATCAGACACTCATCACACTGTTGCCAATTGATCTTGAAAATTAATTGGAAAATCAAGGCTCTATTCAAAGCGGTCTGTTTCACATGGTTAGTGGTCAGGCAAGCATGTTTGACACATGGAAAATATAGACAATTCAAATTAAACATGTTCCATTGTCATAAAACATGTTTTATGTGGGTAATGTCATACAGCATCAAAGAAGCTTTTTGAGATTGGAATTGCTGGAATGTTGACAGCACCATCAGGAAAATCTGGAAGATGATACCTGCTGTAATTTTTTGGATTGCCTGGAACGGAAGGAACAGAAATGTTTCGATGGACTATTAACTCCTTCTGATTCTCTTGATGCCTCTTGCATTAATAGTTGGGTCAATATATCCCCTGTTCGCCTAATAGTTTTTTAAGCTTCATTAGCTCCCTAGTCTTAATCTCATCATATCTACTGGAGTTAACAATCATATTTATGTCACTTTTTTGCATCTTCTTGATATCATTGATGAAGCCAAATACTTCATCCCCACCCTCCCATCCACCCAAAAAAAAAAAAAAGAACTAAGGTTTGCTTGGGTTTAAGCACAGAGATGAAATGGTTTTGAGTGAAGAAAATACTAAAGAAAAAAAAATATGAATGCAAGAAAAATAACTTTAAACATAAAGAATAGTTATTTGAACAAAAGAATTGAAAAGCTACAATTATCCTAAATATATGAGATAAAAACCATGTCAATAAAGTGCAGGAACCATTTTAATTTATAATCTAGATGTGAAGGAGAAGGTTTAAGTTTTTAAAGATTAGTTACTCACACAAAAATCTAATTGCACATACTTAATCACTAAAGAATTCATTCATAACATTTTGTTAAAAACTAAAACATCACTTTGGTAGGCTATATAATGTCTAACGATACCCGGATAAACCCACAACCCATTGGCAATTAGGAGCATGACGAAGAACTAAAGCACCAACTAAACAAGGTGAGCACTAGTAGCACTTCAACTAGCTTAAGAACATTTTTGTTTTGATAAAGGCACAAAGTGTGCTGGCAGCTGTATTAACAAAAATTAAGTCTGAAGCCTATTATAGATTCATACAAGGCTTCCAAAAACTGTAAGATGGATCCGGTATCAGGGTCACAAATTTCTTTATGCCAAAAATAAAAATAAGAAATACAGTGCATCTTTACTTTTAGTATGGAGTTACTCTTGTCTTCAGAACATCAACTGTTCCTTCCTTCCAAATAGTCCACCATATACAAGCAAGAATAGCCCTCCACCACTTTTTTGTCTTACCATGCCTCCAACATGATTGAATGATTTCAATAAATCAAGAGCGTTATCAGGTATTGTCCATCTCAATTTCACTAAAGCCAGGAAAAGATGCCAAAAGCTGGGAAGTCAACTAGCTTAAGAACTTAAAAAAGGAGTTAAAGCACTAAGAAGGTAAGACACTAGAATATAAAATGTGATTATAGGGCACTTATGATAAACAGTGCCTTTCCATTCATATTCTGTCAATGTTACAGGATTTTCAATAGGAAGCAAACTTTATTAACAACTAATACACCTTAATCCCTAACAAGTTGAGGTCGTCTATATGATTTTCACGGATCAAGTCGCTCCATTTGAGCTCATCTCATATACAATAGAAATAAGAAGAAGAAAATTACTAGAAGTTCTCTATATTTTCTACTGAAAGACTTTGATAGTACTAAAAGAACCCTAGAAAACATAGTAAGTAAACTTAGCAACTTCCCACATTTTCCAACTACAAACAATTTTAATGCATGAATTTTGTGAGAAATTTAGGAAAAGAATATTATTGAATTGTGTTGTGTCTACATTATTACATTGAGACCCTATTTATAGACACTAGAATACAATCTCTTAGCAAGTAGGATACTATTTACTATTCCTATTCCTATTTCTATTCCTATTCCTATTCTAAATAGGATTGTATAAGCCTATTATCCTAGAAGGAGGATTGGCATGAAGCTGGAAATCTGGAGACACTTTTCACAGACATACATACTCTGGTACTTCAGCAACAAAGTACAATAGCTGAACTATGAACCTCATGGGTGGAATATTATATTTAGAAGGCACCTCAATGATTGGGAAATTCCAAAAGTAACAGAATTCTTCAGCGTCATTGAAAAATTTAGTGGCTTGGAGACAGAGAAGGACAGATTGCAGTGGTTGGGGAACAGTACTGGGACTTATAAAGTAAGTGCAGCATATAGGAAGTTGAACCACCCAATCATGCAGGCATCGAAATGGCCCTGGAAACACATTTGGAAGGCCAAGATCCCACACAGTGGCCTGTTTTGTGTGGTTACTGGCTAATGAAGGTGTGTTGACACAGGAGAATTTGATGAAGAGCGGGTTTACACTGTGTTCAAGATGTTTTTCTTGTGGGGAAACTGCAGAAACAGTCAATCACTTGTTCATCCAGTGCAAGGTCACTGGCCAATTGTGGAGTCTATTCCTAAGGCTCAAAAATCATCTCAAGGGTCATGCGTGGTAGATTTGCAGAGGCCTTATACAGTTGGGAAGAAGCAAGATTACAGGCAAAGAACAGAAGCAACTGGAGAATCATTCCTGCTGCTATTTGGTGGACTGTCTGGAAAGAGAGAAATCTTAAGAGTTTTTTGAGAATAGGGAGAGTAATATGGAACAAGTAAAATTGAATTGTATTCTAACTTTTTGTTTTTGCTTGGTGAGATATCTGCAAGTTGATCAGTCGACTTCACAAAATTGACCGTCAATCTCAGTGTGCTTGTCTTCTCATTAAATACTGAATTTGATGCATAATGTCAGTCAATCTCAATCTGCTTAATCTTCACATGAAATAATGAATTTGATACATAATGCCGATAAAACATCGAGGGATAAAATTACAGTGTTGAACTTTCCAACCCAACCTTGCAAAGACTGTTTTCAGACCATAGAGTGACTCACATAATCGGCATAGAAGGCTAATAAACTCCCCCTAGCAACAAAGTGCTCAAAATCTAGTATTAAGTATATGGATCATGTTGGAATCAATAAATGAGTTGATATTTAACAAGAAAGTCACCGAAAAATTGGCCGGAACATGCTCATATCCGCAGTATTAGATTTGATGGCTGAAAGTGGTCACAATCTAATAAATAAAATTATATGGGTAGGGTCGGAATAATGGTACGACCCAACTAGAAAATATAGAAAATAGAAATTATATAGGAAAGGTCAGATTGATGGCACGACCCTATTGAAAAAGAGAAATAATATGGGTAGGATTGGAATGATGGCAGGACCCTACTAAAAAAAATAATTATACATGTATGGTTGGAATAATGGCACAACCCACGCAATCAGATTTGAGGAGTCACCTAAAAGACGAATGGAACTATGCAAATCAAATATGATGAGTCACTGAAAGAAATGATATTATGCAACTCAGATATGAGAGAGTAGTTCCGAAAAATCCACGATACTACACAAATTAAATATGAAAAGCTACACAAATTAAATAAGAAAAGTAGCCACCAAAAAGATGGTGCGGTGCTATGCAAACTAGATATGAAAAAATAATCACCGAAAAGATGGCAAGGTGCTACACATTAAATATGAAAAAAGTAGTCACTAAAATGATGGCACGGTGCTACGCAAATTAAATATGAAAAAAGTAGTTACCGATTGATGGCACGGTGCTACACAAATTAAATATGAAAAAGTAGTCGGTGGAATGATGCACGGTGCTACAAAAATTAGATATATGAAAGTAGTCACCGGAACGATGGCACGGTGCTACACAAATTAGATATGAGAAAATAGTCACCAGACCCAACATTTGCTAACATAAATATTGGCCGAACGGGCAGCACACATGGATAATAGCCGCCCGCCGGCAGTGGAAGCTCTTACCAAGATCTTCGAGGCTCTAATACCATGGTGAGGAATATTGAAAAAGAATATTATTGAATTGTTGTCGTATCTACATTATTACATTGAGACCCTATTTATACTAGAACACACCAAGTAGGATACAATTTACTGTTCCTATATCTATTTGTATTTCTATTCCTATTTAAATAGGATTATATGAACCTATTCCTATTCTAATAAGATTGTATAAACATATTCCTTTTCTAATAGGATTGTATAAATCTGTTCATGTCCTAACAAATTTAATGAATGATAATCATCCGACATAGAAATTAGCCAGAACGGCCAGGGGATGAAGCAAATATAGCTATCACTTCCAGAAGAAAAAAGAAAAGGTCAAATATTATCTCAAAGAAGAAGAATTGAAGAAACTGTGACAATACAATCAATGAGGGCATATAAGGTGTCACCAACTAAAACACAAAGCAGAATCTGACTAACCTTCTCCTGCTGGTAATTAATTAGTATATGGGAGTTGTTGCTATGACACAGTATGTCCGCTGGCATCACATTACTTTTTAATACTTTTGGACAGGCAAACTCATTGCCACTCTCATTAGATGATGCCTCATGATACATATAACTGAGAGCTGATCTGAGACGAACTACTCTCTGAGAATAGTACATCTTAGTTGCAAGTGGATGTGGAACATCTGGAGGTAAACAACACACAAAGTACCACGTAAATATTTAGCACTAGAAGTTAAAGAATAGACAATGTAGCAAAATAACTCACAAAATAAATCACCATGAGCATAAAAGAAATGACCTTCGAAAATCTTTTGACTACAAAAGTTTAGGACTGTCTTTATAATATGAAAATGAAGGGTAGCTATGAACAACTGAAAGAAAGATGTGACTACTACCTTCAGCCTTTGAACAAAAATTTTGGACTTGAGTGGCAATTTTAACTGCAACAGCACGACTACCAGTATTGTCACTGCCAGCGGTTGACCTTTCTTGATGATCCTCACCTGAAACTTCACAATAGAAACTATAGATGAGCCACTTTAAACAATGAAAAGCTGACCGAGAAGAAACACCCTCTATTTTTTTCTTAAAAGTGAACCACGAATTTCAGAGAAATGGTTTTAAATCACCAAATTAGTCTTCTCATGTGCTGTCTTGATAGCCTTTGAAGGTATTATATGTTTTTTCCTTCATCCCAAGAATAAGACACCCCAAAGAAATGTACAGCAAATATATTACATGAAGTACTCTTCTACCATAAAAAAGTTTGACGATGCAGATTTTGAATCAAATTTTTCTACACAATATGCACAGAGTGAAGCCTAACAAAATGTCCTTGTAAAACAAAGAAGGATGTGCTGAATAGAAGTAGATTTCTTTTCCTTTTCTCCTTTTATAACACCAAAAAAAGAAAATAACTGCAAAGACCGCTAGGTTATTCTTTAGAAGTGGCTCTCCGTTTTGCATGTCATCAGCTTCAAATGCTCCATTATACTTGCTTGCAAAATCTGAAGTCTATCGGACGTTGTTTGGTTCAATTTTGATAAAGATTTCATTTAGAAAATTAACATTACGAGTTTTTTCTTTAAAAAAAGACTTCATTTAGAAAATCCCGGTATTGTAATTTGAGATTTTGAAGTCGTATGGGAAAAATGTGCTCCATTTGCTAATTAGAATGTTCTATTAGGTTCGTATTATTTTTGTGACCCATAAGAACTTAGGGAAGTGATTATAGTCCAAGGGATGCCTGACATAAGTTTCAAATGAGTGCACACAATACCTAACTCCAACGAGAATAACGCGCAATCTATAATGAATATGGAAAAGTGCAAAAGATGAAAGTTGTAGTCCTTTGAGTCTAGTTTCAAATGCATTAAATTGTTTATCAATCATAGTTGTGCAGAAACAAGTTATGAAGGATTTAGTGAAAGGTGTCTAGCAGAAAAATATGGGTCTTCAGATACAACATGTGAAGGTCATGGTACAACCCGCCGAAGCACTTGGGTTGTGTTAAAGGAACACGGACAGCAACACTTGTTTTGTGAAATTTTGAGCTCAAACTTGAGAAAAAAATTGGAAGGAGCTTGGGGATCATCCTACCAACTAAGTATGGGACAATTTGAGATTCTGGTGGTAGTACTTTGGGGATTTCAGCACTATCAAGTTTGGGACTATCAAATGCTCTGTTTGTGAACATTGGGAAAGTGCTTGGTCGCAGTATTATGTTGGATGTGAGGTATGGAGATTTGAACTACTACTTACTTGCTTCCATTAACTAAGCATGAAATAACCACTATGAACTTGTTATGATAACCCTTAATATAATATAATTGATTAAGATATCGGATTGTTTACCTAATATGGGCAGTACTCAATATAATGTTGTGAAATATTTGGAAAATCCATGGAGATTTATTGAGTTAAGTTTGGGACTCCTCTGTTGAGATAGTAAATTATTGTTTTAAAAATTTGTAAGATGGTTGGGCCACGTTACCTTTATGATTAATTAGCAGTTGTCTCCTTTTATTAGAGCTTTTATGCTTCAAATTGAGTCCTAACACTTGTGATATTAGATATTTAGATTATATTGGCTTGACTGTCATATTATTTATGGTGAGGTTGGGTCTTGATATAGCCATACATGATGTTTTATGTTATTTATGAGAAATATAGAAGAAGAATTATTGAATTATTGTGTCTACATCATTACACAAAAACCCTATTTATAGACACTACAATACGATCCTTTAACAAGTAGGATACTCTTTACTATTCTTATTCCTATTCTAAGTAGGATTGTATATTTCTATTCCTACTTATAGTCTTATTCCTATTCTAAGTAGGATTGTATATATCTATTCCTACTTATAGTCTTATTCCTATTCTAAGTAGCATTATATATACCTATTCTTATTCTAACATTGTTGTTATGATTCATATATGCTGTCTTCGGGTGTATAAGACAATTGGGCCAGAGTCACCCTTCACATCCCAATGAGACTTTGCATAAGACGTTAGGCCAGAGCCACCCTTCGCAGCCGGAATCATAGGACGATTGAGCCAGAGTTACCCTCTGCAGTTTTGAGGTTTTATTTTTGTTGATTATTAGTAAGATAGTTGGAGTTACCCTCCGCAGTTCCAAGATTGTGTTGATTATTTGTAAGACATTTGGGCCGGAATTCCCTCCGCAGTTTCAAGGTTTTATTGTTGTTGATTATTTAAAAGATGGTTGGGCAAGAGTTACTCTCCACAGTTCTGGGGTTTTATTGTTGTTGATTATTTGGTCTAGCCATGTGAGTCGGAGAGGGCCTATAATTAAGTTGTGCTCTGACGATGAGATCCTTGGATATATTATCTGTTGTGCAGATTTGAGATACTAATATCTATTCCATACTTATGATGTTGAAAAATGTTGGCAACATTGTTATTAATAAAGTAATCCTCTGAAGTCTAGTGAGACTCACACCAGTTTGGTTGCAGGTTTTACTTTTTATGGCACGTTGGGCATTTCTTGGTCCTATTTGTGGTCATTTCTCAACGATGTCGAGTCAAACTGCCAGCTGTTCATTTTAGAGTTTATCTTTTCACGATACATTTTACTTACATAGTTGGGGTTAAGCCCGATGTTGTATTTTGAAAACCCTTCACGTGCTCCATGAATAGTATGAGTTGGGATGCGTGCAAGTTTTGGTTTCATTCTCTATTCTGAAACACTTGTATCAGATTCTTCATTTATATTACTTCTCATAGTTAAACTACTTCTTTGATAAATATTTTCAAACTTACTTTTCAAAAAATCAGGAGATCGCTTGGAGACAAAGGTCAAGGATTCAATGGCTGAAAAAGGGAGACAAAAATACAAATCTTTTTCATAGAATTGCTACTGCAAATAGAAGGTTCAATAATGTGGATGGCACTGAAATAAATAATCCTAACAGTATTAAAGAAGCGGTGCAGAGTTTCTACAAAAGCTATATAAAGAGACTGAGCAATGGAGACCAGATCTAAATCTACATGGAGGAACAAAAATTACTGTCGAAGAACAGGCATGGCTGCAGAGACCATTTGAAGAAGAGGAAATCATGAAATGCCTTAACATGTGTGCTATGGAGAAGGCTCCTGGTCAAGATGGTTTCCCAATGGTTTTCTTCAAAACTTTCTGGGTTCCACACCAGCCAAACTTTTGAGAAAAGCTTCAATGCAACCTTCATAGCATTAATTTCAAAGAAACCAGGTGCCACAGAGTTAAAAGATTATAGACCTATTAGTTTGGTTGGGGGGGGGGGGGGGGGATCTACAAAATCATATCTAGAATTCTAGCTGAGAGGCTCAAATCAGTGGTAGATAAGCTAGTCAACAACCATCAGATGGCATTCATAAAGGGAAGACAAATCATGAATGATGCATTATTAGCCAGTGAGTGCATAGATGCAAGAAGGAAGAATGGTATTTCTGGAATAATGTGTAAGCTTGACATACAAAAAGCTTATGATCATGTGAACTGGGACTACCTCCTCAATATCCTAAGGCAAATGGGATTTGGAGATAAATGGGTGAAATGGATTGAAGTTTGTATCAAAACAGTTAGATTCTCTGTTCTTGTGAATGGTGAGCCTATTGGGTTTTTTGCCTCTCAGAGGGGTTTGAGACAAGGAGATCCACTCTCTCCTTTCCTATTTATTTTAGCTATGGAGGGGTTTGACAGTATGACGAGGTTTGCAATCCAAAAGAGATGGACCACACGTTTCGAGATGAACAATAGAATGGGAGAGGGTAAGGAGATATGCCATCTATTGTATGCAGATGACAAAATCATATTTTGTGAGCCAACCGTGGATAAAATTAGGTTTATCAGACTAATTTCGATACTCTTTGAGAGTGCTACAGGGTTGAGAGTCAACTGGGGAAAGAGCAGCCTTTATCAAGTTTCAGAGGTTCCTCAGGTTCAGAGCTTGGCTAACATACTAGGATGCAGAAAAGCTACCAACCACTTATCTTGGTATGCCTCTAGGCTATAAACACAAAGCACTAGAGATATGGGATGGGATTCTAGAGAAAACTTAGAGGAAGTTAGCTAAAGTTAGCTAAGTGGAAGTCCAAGTACCTATCAATGGGGGGTAGATTGATCTTGATAAACTCTGTCCTTAACTCACTTCCTACTTATGTGATGTCACTTCTTCCAATCCCAGCAAAAGTGGGGGTCTGGGAATCAGAAATCTTAGGCTGCAAATGAGAGTCCTCTGAAATGGTTATGGAAATACATCAATGAGGATAAGGCTTTATGGAAGGAAGTCATTGTGTCCAAGTATGGTGAAGCTAGCCCATGGTGCACGGAAATGGTAACTGATACCTATGGAGTGAAGTATGGAGAACAATTAGGAATTTATGACAATTAATGGAAAACAATATATATATATATATATATATATATATATATATATATATATATGAGATGAAATCTTTAAATAAGAAAAAAAGATATATACATTCACATTATTATAGTATTAATTACTTACCAGTTAAAACTATAGCTTTGACATTTTTGGAGAGATAGGTGGTTTGATCAAACTCCTTTAAAGGAGGCTTTCCCTGAACTATTTCTTATTTGTGTAAACTCTGAGGTGACAATCCAAGAGTGCTGGTCCACACAGGGGTGGGATGTCTCTTTTAGGAGGTGTTTAAATGATTGGGAGATAGAGAGGGCTGTTACTGGGAAAAATAGAGCAAGTTTCTATTAGCAGTACAGAGGTTGATATACCTCTTTAGAAACCCAATGGTAACGGGATATTTTCTGTAAAGAATGCCTACACAAGAGGTCTCCAGGTGACTAATATAAATACTCAATGCAAGTGGAATTATTTCTGGAAAAGCAGCATTCCAACCAAAGTTAAGTGCTTCACTTGGTTGGTTATCAAAAGGGACTGCCTAACCCAAGAAGTGCGACAGAAGAAGAAGAGATAATTGGTTTCTAGGTGTTTTCTGTGTAAGGTGACTAAGGAGACAAACAAGCACCCATTTTTGCACTGCAAGTACACTGCTCAGTTGTGGAATTTGTTTCTCAACATTACTGGCTATAGCTGGGCCATGCCTGAGCATAAATCAGACCTTCTTAGCTGCTGGATCAGAAGAGGGGGAAGTAAGAGCCAAAAGAGATGGTGGAGATTGATTCCCTCATGTATATGGTGGTCAGTATGAAGGGAGAGCAATGCCAGATGTTTCGTAGATAGGTCCAATCCCATTCATAAAGTCAAATGGAATTGTATTGTATCTTTACTCTTTCTAGACTTGGTTCTTTCTTTCACAAAATGGTCATTCGCTTTAAACTGGTTGAAATAAATAATGTTTTGAGATGTCCACCTAAGGGGTAGTGGCTCATTAGGTGCCTTGGCGTCTCATGAAAACGAGGTGTTACAGTAACTTTATGAAGAAATATAAATCTGGCCTTACCGGGGATAGCTTCTCTTGAATTTGCAGACCAACTCTTAGTAACACCATTTACTGCACCAAAATCAGCTAATAGCTGCCGATTTCCCACAATTAGCCTATGAGATGAAGAAAAATGTCATCAATTTATGATATCACGAAAAAGGATCTTCATTTTCCCAACACAGTTCGAAGAGATTAACCACTTAATTGGGCCTTAATATGATTTTTCTGGTGCATGTATGTCTTTATTGTATCAAAACTAATCAACTGGTAACTTAAACCAGCCAAAAGTATCCTATAAAAGAAGCATCTACCTCAATCTTCAAAATGAAATAATAATACTGCATTCTCTTCACATATGAGCCATCATCTATAGGTTTGATGGTTTACACACCAACAGATGGAAAATTATATACTCCAATGCAATGACTGTTTGATTCCAAATGTTTGTACTAACTGAAAGTTAAAATATGCACTCCGAAAGAGGGAGAGGAAAAATGCAAGGCATTGCCTACATCAAGTGATAAGTGCATACATCTTAGAATTTTCTTCCTGGTGCAAGATTGCACCTTCTGAGCAATCTACAGGTCCGGGATTAACCATGGAACTATTTCTCACACTGGCCACATTTAAGTGTGATGAAATTCCTGCAGTTATACGGAATAAACAAGGCAATCAGCATAAGAACCATATGAATATGTAGCTTTTGCAAAATTACTATAAATCAAGCTCTTGTGACCGCACAGAAATGCTGTAAGGAAATATAGAGGGACAAACAGGTAACTTCTTTATCATTTCATTTGGTGAGGCACCCCTTAAGAAATAGAAGCTCCCAGAACTAAAGTTCCACAACCCTTTCTCCCACCTACATCGAAACATTAAGAAGGGAACATTTTGTCCAAGTATTGGATTTGAAAAAAGAAAAGAAACTAACCTCCATATTTCATAATGTTTGACTAGACACTGAGTTTAAGAAAGATTTTTGGCACACAACAAAGTACCCTTAAAACTTGTGGTCTTAAAGGATGTCATGCCATTTTGTAAGATATAGGAGCGTCTCATTAACGGTATAATGAGAAGTTAACAAGTTTTCAAATATAGAAAGGCCTCGTTTCTTTTTGGAACAAATTGAAAAGGAAATCGTGTTATATACAAAAGTATAGAGGGAGTATAAAGAACTGTGCGTTTAATTCATTAAACAATGTTAGGAACATAATAACAATATAAAGGAATCGTTTAGTTGAATGTAGGAATAAATGGATATTACAATTAAGCTAAATCCTATGGATCATCAGTAAAGTAAGGAAACTGACTACAAGAATCACTAGGAGAACAAGAAACATGAGAAAAAGATGACAATACTTTTATCTTTAGGAAAGGAAACAGTTGAATGAAGCTCCTCCGAACAGCATGATGATGCAGCAAAACCATTATCTAACAATTCAGGTTTTGCTTTCTTTCTGACTGATATAGGTTTGTCTATAGGAAATTAAAGATGGCAAATCATTATTAAGAAATAAGAGAAGTTATACACCATAGAAACAACTTAAAGTATGTGAACGGATCTCAGCTATAGATTATTGCAGAGATGAACTCATAAACTTTTCTTCAAGAGCATAGGACAACCAAAAACAATGTTCATTTAGGGAAAGGATACTAGTGTATGCAGTAAGTGACTTTTTCCTCTCTTTCCTCGGGCGTTTCTTGTGTACGGTACCATCATTGACCTCCAAAGCAATTTCTTCTGCAGAGATTAATGACTTACAAAGCTCTGAAAAGATAAAACATGTTAAACAAGATGGACGACTAGAGAAGGCAAAAGACAGTAGTTTTAAAGCTGGTCATCACTTTCTAAGACTAAATTAAGACAAAACTCAGCTATGGTGATAATATCTTTTTGAAGTTTGGAAAAGATTGTGCAGAGACTCAACCTGTTCGATTTCAAGGGTCTTTGCGCATACACCAACCCACCCAAACGACAGGGTTGATTACTCAATGAGGGAAATAGGAAGATACTGTGTATATGTCAAAATGTTTAAGGAGAAAAATAGGAGAGAAACTTCTAATTCATCAAAGTTTCTGTCACAGGGCAATAGTGACCAAGAAAATGCAACATGAACAAACACTACTACTTAGTTTTTTGTACTACTCAATAATTAAGGTTATATCTCTAACAGTAGAGTTTCTACATTTTCTACTGACGAACTAGGGAGAAAAAGTTGAGATGGTATGAAGAGATGGACACGAGCCATCTCGTGCAACTAGTTAAAAAGGGTTAGGGCAATAAGTATTATCTGACTCTTAACAGAGGATATATTCATGATAAGGTAGAAGTCTCCAAGGGAATTTATACTGTTCAGGGTACTTCACTCATAGCATTAAGGATTTGACTTAGATACTCAGATTCTTTCATGTAGTAGTATCACAGCAGAAAAAGTCCTAGATTCAACTCTCACCGATCATTCACAAAAAAGGATATTCACATGCTTGACCCAAAAAATAAAGATAGAAAGAAAGAAAACAATCAAGCACGTACATGAGAGAGTGTCAAGACATAGTTAAACAAATAAAAGCTTTTGGATGAGATGGTTAGAGTACTCAATACGATTAGACATACAAGCTTATGGAGAATACACTAGTCCTATATTGGCAAAGTTAGGGTCTCCAGAGGCTCCAGAAAATCCATATGTAATCACTAGAACATGGATACACATGCAGGAGGGTATTAAAGAATATACTAGACCTAAATTGGTAGTGTAAGGATCTCCAAAAGGGTTTGTAATATTCCGGGGCTTCCCTACTGATAACTCTAGAGGTTTTTAGTTGGATGCTCCGATTCTTTCACATGATATCAGAGTAGACTAACGCCTTAATTAAAGTCAAACTGCTATCAATTTGAAAAAAAGTACTTCAAGAGGCTTAACCCAAGAAAATAACCATCCCCGTTTGTGTTAAAACAAAATTAATTAGAAAAGTATCCCCTCTTTTCTTTGGGGATATAAGTAGAAAAATATCCTCTCTTACATTTTAAGCTTTGCTTCTAGAAAAGATTGACACAAAACTTAACATATTTATTATATGAAGTAGCTCCAAAACAAATTTCATGACTTGATATGTATCTGAAACTATATAAAATAGTCAGTTCGCGATTACAAAGCAATTCAAGAAAAGCAGAATATTGTTCATAAAAGAAATGAAAGATTCCCACAAAGATCCATTACATTATTAGCATTGCACTGACAATGGCATTATGGAACTACTTAACAAGATACACATTTCTGCTGTCTTAAAGAAGAAATGATTGAGGCAGATAACATGATTTTGTGATGTTATTTCCAATTATGATAAGTCCATGCAAATGTAAACAGAAGGTAAAAGCGTCTATTTAAGAGTCGAAATAAAACTTGCATACAACAAACTGATGTATTACTACAAAGACACATGAACACAAGATGTTTTAAGTTACTAAAAAAAGGGGGAAAACCTGAATGGGCAACGTATTGGCTGGCTTTTATTGGCTTCTTACAAGCATTGCAACACACCTTAAGAACAAACGTTCAAGAATCAATTTTTCCACAAAACTATGAATGCAATGCATTATTATCATCAGGCAAGCAATCATGCAAGTCATTTTGAGGCAACAGTTTTAAATCTTCTATTGGAGAAATTTCCTACTAGGTGATCAACCATATGTCCTTTCACCAGGTGAGAGTAGATTGTTTGCTGCTAGACTAAAGGAATATGCTTGGAAGGAAACTAAAATTAAAGCAAAATACTGCCATCATGAGATGAGTAACAATTACAAGGTCTTTGAGAGTGTTAATGTTGCTCTCCCTCCATTACAATAAGACTGGCCTACTTCCACTCCACCGCAAAAAGTAAAATTTGTCCTATTTACTAAAATGAAGAAGCTGTTCCTCCAATAATTCGAAGTAATATAAACAATTACATATCTATATTAAATTTAAATTTGACACAACATCATTTTAACTTACTACTTCATTTTTATACTTATCAACTACTATTTTGAATAATTCGACATCAAAACCAACACGGTATACTTTTTTTGAGATGGCCAACACAATATATACTATCTAAACATCTAATTACTAAACCTTGCGCTAGTTAAAGTTGGCCTATCATTATGCTTATGGGAGAAGGGCGCGTGAACACATGTTTTATATATTGTGAACACGTTTCAATAGAAAAAGAAAAAAATATTAAGTTGGATATGTGTGTGTATGAGAGAGAGCACGAACACATGTTTTATCCCTTGAATATCATTCTAATGAATTCAATTCATCTATAGAAAAGCCTAAACATGTTTTATCCCTTGAATATCTTTTTCCAAAAGACAAACCCAACACTAATACCCTACACTCTGATCATTCTTCAACAATAAAACAAAACAATTTGTTTTTTAAAACCAAAATAAAAATTGGAAGTCTAAAATTGAACTCCAACTAAGTCTACGACAACAACATACTCAGTATAACTCCACAAGTGGGGTCTAGGGAGGATGGGATATATGCAGACCTTACCCTAGCAAAGTTGTCACGCCTTTGTTGATAGGGTTATTGATTTAGGAACAATAATTTAACTTCTCTAATCCATTATGATGATTGAAGGCGCCAAAATGGAATAAGGTAGACATAGAACATATAATTGGGAACATCTAGGAAAGACTCTATCCCTTTTTAAGGAGAAAAACAGAAAAAAAAAATTGCTAGAGAAGTTTGATCAGAAGGCAGACGGACTAATTAAGGGTAGAACATGATGGAAGCTAAGAATCTATATACACGATACCACAAGTGAGAAATAGCTTAGACATTGCTATATACTTAAACTAAGTCTAGTGCTTTCCAAAGTTCTTTTTAATCTGGTTTGAGACTTCTATTAGTGTATTACAACTTGTCTTAAGGCAAAACTTTTTTAGTATTGTGATCTAGAATAGACAGAATGGCTGCTGAGGATTCATATGGTCAACACAAACTATTTTGGGATCGAGGCCTAATTATTGATTGATTAATAGAATTTTGTCCCCCTAATAGAGATACTGCTATCACCACGGTCATCAAAAAATAGAGTTACTCCTATATTTTCAAATTAATACATAGTGTTGCCCCTCTGCTAAATTTAAAGGTCTAATTTCTCCTAAAGGCAGCAGCCAAAAGATATCTTCAATTTATTCACACTTAGTAGTTATAAAATATTATCTTCCCTTTCTAAACGCAATTTTATAATACCTAATATCTCTTCATATTCGTGAACTAAATCTATATCAAAGTCCAACGGACCTCATTAGTTCAACTAATTCTCATGAATATCATCATATCAAATTCTCAAGTCAACATTGCCAAAGTATCATAAGCCTGCAAAATCCGACCTTTCTGCTTAGTCTATTGAGACATTTTAGCAACATGGCATACACATTATATTTATTTTATTTTATTTTATTTTTTATATGTGGCCGGTGGGGTGGGGGGGGGGGGGTTCTATCTTTTTCAAGTAAAATATGAAATAAAAGTTCCACCTTAGTTCTCTAATTTTTTACATATAAGATGAGTAATTTATCATAGTAGATGCTGAAGGATGTGGTTTATTCAGCAATTACTACCCATACACATTCAGACGGAAGTCATAGTTGAGTTCTAATTAGATGTTAAAGTGGATGGTCCCACATTGGTTAGGGAATGGCCTAGCAGTCCGCTCATATGGACTTGGGCAATCCTCCCTTCATGAGCTAGCTTTGGGGGTTGAGTTAGGCTAGGTGTCATATTTTTACATGGTATGGTCCATTCCCGTTTGGACTCCCAGCCCACGCTCCAGTTAGGCCTGGGCGTGAAAGGGGTGTTAAAGTGGGTCAAAGTCCCACATTGGTTGGGGAATGGACTGGTGGTCTATTTATATGGATTTGGGCAATCCTTCGCTCATGAGCTAGCTTTTGGGATTGAGTTAGGCCCAGATGTCAAATCATTACACGATAAAACTACTTATAACCCAATTCTGCCTTAATGTTTCGACTGATGAGTTATTTCTGCCTTAAGACATGATAGTCCATGCACAGTCCGACAGATGAAGCTTATTTAGCTATATACGAGGTCAAAGAAAACATGTATGACACTACATTTATATCATTATCATTCTTCTTTTTTTTTTGACAAAGGTAATGGGTTTGTATAAAATCTTCAGCACTAAGGCTGGGATCCCAAAAATTTACATCCCAAAGCTACATAATACATACAACTGAGTAGGCTCAGAAACCCAAAAAAAGAAAACCTATCCCAGGTCCTATTTCATCTTATAAGGATCCTAGAATGTCTACAACTGTTGCAGGATCATCTATATACTCAGAACTACACCAATGAGAAAAAGTGATAATGCAGTCCATTTTAGTCTTATGTAAAGTACTACTGATACTTTCAGAACATCTTGAATTTCTCTCCTTCCAAATGGCCCACCATATCACTGCTGGGACAATTCTCCGTCTGTTTTTGTCTGAGCTACCACTCCCTTCCTTATATCATTATCATTCTAATTTCATGTTTTCTGAACACTGACATAGACCAAAGAAAGACAAATACTCTTTTGTAATGTGAAAAATTATTTGAAACAAACTTGTCTAGCAATAAAACTTCTGTGATGGTATCAACAAGTAGAACGATCTTAGTCAAGATTGAACAGATGCACTTGCTGGACCTTACCAAATGCAAAGGATCGGTAAGTGGCCTCAAACCAAACACGTGCATATCTGCAAGAAGAGCATGCCAAGGTGATCGAACAATAAAAGCAATAAAGCAGATATAGATGCATTTAATGGTAAACCAATTGATACACCTAAAACTTCAACACTTGCTACACTGAAATTTCTTAAACTAGACTTGAAATTGTAAATCTAGATGAAAAAGTAAATCTTATCAACAAAGCATGCAAATCAAGCCACAATCAACATGAACTTTTCTCATCTTCCATGCCAAGCAACTGGACTTGAGGTGAAAAAGCTAGAGAACATAATACCTTCTTCATCAATCAAATTCGCTTCATCTGCCTCTCTCAATTCTCTTTGAATGTACTGAGCAGCTAATTTATGGTGGCCTGCTTCCTCTGCCAAGGAAAGAAGGCAGTGAGAAACAAAGGTAAAGTATCTCAACAAACAAAAGTAAAAAGATAGTGACAAAAGAAAATAGAAGTATATGAGACAGCAAGGAGCACACCAGACCAGGTCAAGACTTATAGCTAACATGATAAAGCACAATTAAATGGACATAAACACATAAACTGCCTCATTAGTTTTATTATTCACCTGAAGCTGTTTGTTGGATATTTCCAGCTACAAGAAACCTTGTCAAGGTTTCCATTCTCCCACTTCCAAGAGGACATACCATCAAGTTCTTGTGAAACTACAATTCAAAAAGATAAATTTCCAGTAAAATTGAAGAATGGCATACCAGAATATATGTTTGATTAAGTTATGTACTAAGTGAACACCCTATAATTCCTGATGAAACAAAAGGACAAGAAAATAGTTCATGCAGAATAAAGAGCACAGTAAGACTGCAAATAGGGGTCCTCCGCCTTATTGCTGCTGTAAGCACTCTTAGCCACCCAACACTTGCAAGTTTCCTATTTTTCCTATTTGAATAGGTAAACAATTATAGTGAACGGCAAGCATTTCAAAGTCTTTTTCATCATCAATAGTTACATTAAACACACATGAATAGGTAACAAAAATTTTGGCATAGAAAAGATCCGAACTTGATGGCACTTTTCTTTATAATTGAGATTTTCGAGCCAGCTTTCGCACACCTTGACTGCTCCGACGGGATATTTTTCCCCTCCCACCAGCAATAAGTAATGGCTAATTATGTCCACCAAAGCTAGGAGCCTAGGATAGATGGAAGAAATCACCTGGTGCTTTTGTCTTTGCTGGGATTTGAACAAGGTCTCACGACTCTGATTCAACTTCATTGACCACTAGACCACACCCTTGGCTGCCTGAACTTGAGCGCGCTTACTAGCTAAAATATCGTAAAACTCCTATGGCATTGATGTGTATCAGGGTAAATCTCTACGTAACATGAACAAAAAATTGGCCCTTCATTAGGTAGATACTTACGTAGGCTACAACCTCCGCTCTATAAAGAATTCTAGCTTTCAAAGTTAAAGCATCAGGAAAATGTAAAACACTAAGGAAATGGGTAACAAATAGAAGGCATCAAGCATAGAAGTCATAATAACAAGCAAACTTCTGATTACGAAGTGTATCAAAATTTTCTTAGAATGTTAAGCTAACCTCAAACTGTAGACAAATTAGGGCATTGGACCCATTTGTAAAGAAGATGAAAATTCTTTGTCAAATTCATTAAGAACATGTAATAGGATATCTGTTTATGGGCGAAAAACTTTGATGAGAGTAAGCAACCATAAAAATAAAGTTCAAGTGGTAAAATTGAGGAAGTTCCCATGTTCTATCATCAATTACTTGTTGTCAATCCCACGTTAGTTGGAGTTAGTTATATAAACTACCTCCATTTCCCTCTGTCGAGCATTCGAAGGATTCATCATTGTTAGACCATGTTTAGATTGGTCATCAACCTATGGGAACCCAACCCCAAGTAATATTCTGGAAAAGTTAATTTCAGCAAAACTAGAACTGCAATTATCAAAATTTTATCCAATAAAATGCCACAAGTATCCATGATGAAATGCTTCACTTATCCAACAAAAAATAAAATACAAAAATGCAAAAGGTTTTTTTTATTCATTATGGAACCAAAAATGCATGTCCTGGTATGTAGCACTATCTGTATGAAAATACAAATAAAAATCAATGAGTGCTCAAAAGAAGGTCCAGAAAACAGGTATGTCAAGTACAATGATCATGAACTGCACCTCGGATTATATGGCACAATGCCATTGCAAAAGTCACACGTAAACTGTCAAGTGACAACACTTAGACAAACAGAGGAATTTTCCTTTTACTTTACATCTTCGACCACATTTACTAGATTTCCTGGACAGATAAACATAAAAATACCATATATACATATTTATCCAAGTATACATACAAATCATCATCAACAACATGAGATATATGTACGAAATTGTGAAATTGAGGAAACGATTAATGAATAACGCTTCAATTGAATCATCATAAAATGCCTATAATAGAATTCAAAATATCCTCTTTCAATAAAGCTAAAATAAATTTTAAATCTGCAAAAATAAATCAAATGAAAAGAAATGGATAACACAGCGACATTACCAGATTTCACCGTCGGTGATCACTTAGAATTTCGAGAGAGACTGTTCGGTGGGTAAACGATGAGAATTTCACAAAATGTAGATGAAATTCGGGGAGAGTAAGCTGAAATTCAGTTCGGAAAACGTGAAGAAGGAAGAAATGCGAAGAAAACCGACAATGCCGATCATTGAAACCCTAGAATTCCGTTGAAGAAGTCGGCATTGATATCAGAAGTGACGTTGCCGATGAAGAGGCGAAGGAAAAACAAAATAGAGGTGGCAATTACTGAAGCGCGGCCTGTTTAAGGAAGGATGGAGTAATATTAATTTGAGCTAATGACTATAAAACCCTTTAAATTATCACTTTTTTTGTGAGTTTATACTTATGAAACTATATAAATTTAGAACAAAAAGAAAATAAGGAGAAGAGAAAAGACTTTTCTCTTGAAGTATATTCAGAAATCATAGATCTTTCACGAATTTTCTTTACAAGGAAAAAAAACCCTTTATTTATAGGGAAAATCTTACTTGGTCCTCAATATTTTATGTGCCTCGTTAAAACCTTACTAGATAAAACCCAGTGGAAAAAAATCTAGTGAAGGAAAAAGAGTACACATATCTAATACTACGCATTATGAATGCCTCATTAAAAATCTTACAAGGAAAACACAATGGGACAAAACCTTACGAGGGAAAAAGAGTACATCGCGTATTAACTACCCCTTATAAGAACATCAATTCAAAGACTAGAATCTTCGTTTTTCAAGCTTGTGCATCATCTTCTTGAAAGTTGTAGTTGATAGAGACTTGGTGAATAAATCAACAATAATGTTACTTGAACATAACTCTTGCATGTTGATATCACCATTCTTGGGAGCTCATAAGTAGAAAAACCTTGACGAAATATGTTTTCTTCTATCTACTTTTAAAATCTTCCTTCAAGATCAAAGATTTCTGCAAGTTCCTTACTTTAACTTCTTTAAGCAAATAATTTATTGCCTTTTGAAAACTCTTCAAGAGTTTCAATTCTAGTTATCAACTTGCATAACAATATTTGTATATGCTTCATGCATTTTGAATCGATTTAATCCTTATAAAGATTATAAACAAGTTCTCCAAAAACTTGCACATACTTTAGATTTTGAATCCTTCATGACTTTTCATATTAATTTTGTCAAGTGATAACATTCAATATTAAATGTATGATATATTTT